GAGGGGAAGGGGAGGGGAGAGGAAGAAGGGGGAGGGGGAGAGGAAGGGGAGAGAGAAAGGGAGAGGGAGAAAAGAAAGAGAAAAAAGAGAAAAGAGAAAAGAAAAGGAGGCTGGGCATGGTAGCACCTGCCTGAAATCCCAGCACTCAGGAGGCTGAGGCTGCATAGTAACACTGTATCAAAAGGATGGATGGATGGATGGACAGATGGACCAACATGCTCTCATTAAAAACAATCTCCAGCAAGGCACAGTGGTGCACAACTGTATCCCAGCACACCAGAGGCTGAGGCAGGGACAGTTCAAGACCAGGAGCTACATCGTAAACTCAAGGCCAGCCTGAACTGTACAGCAAGACTATGTCTCAGAAGTCATCATCATCCTCACCATCTCCAAATTACCTTGCATTAATGTCACTTTATTTCTCTGTCAAATCTCTATTTTGTTAAGGGATGAAGAATATATTTTTTAATGGTGTTTGTGTGTATTAGTAAGGCAGAAATATTAACTTCATCAAATGTAACAACAATGACAGTCAAAAAAATACCTGACATGTTCTTACAAACCACAGAATGCCAACCAAGGACACCACCCTGAGGGGGAACAGTGACTGGGTGCTCACACACGCAGCACACCATTGGGATGCACCCAGCTCTGGCAATAGGCCACGTTACTCTTTTCCCTATATTTCTAACATTTGATACTAAATCACGAGAAGGAATAAAGCTTTTTGTTTAAAGATCTTTAGGGTCAGGTCTGTTGAGCTTAACAGATGACAGCAGAACTTACTGAATCTACTGAAGTTTATTTTAGAAGTTCCAGGGCCAGGGATGTGGCTCAGCAGCAGTGTACCTGCCTGGCAAGTGTGAGGTTGCAAGTTCAATTATCAGTACCAAAATAATAATGGTAATAACTGGCCAATGAGGTAGCTCAGCAGACTGCCTGCTGAGGCAAGCGCAGGGACTGAGGTTTGATCCCCAGCACGACAGGTTGCACTGGCTTATCCAGGGGACCCCCTGGTATGATGAGCCAGCCACTGACCCTGGTCATGGTGGTGCATGCCTGTAATCCCAATGCTGGGGAGGCTAAAAACAGAGGAGGATCACTACGAGTCCAAGCTGCATAGGGACACCCTGTAACAAATGGGGGGGAAGGGGAGGAGGAGGGGGAGGGGAAGAAGGGGAGGAGGGGGAGGGGAGGAGGAAGAGGAGGAAGAAGAAGAGGAGGAAGAAGAGGAAGAGGAGGAGGGGGGGAGGAGGAGGAGGAGGTTCCTACATCAATAGCCACTTGAATCTGGAAGGCAAAGGAAAACAGACACTAAAATCTCATATAAACAATATACCATACACTAACATATCTCTATATTGCCTAAAATGGTAAAAGATTTATATATAGGGGGCTGGGAAGATAGCTCAGTAGAACAAGCACTTGCCTGGCAAGCACAAGGACTTGAGTTCAATCCCAGTTCCACCAAAAAAAAAAAAAAAAACCGATTGCCCCAAAAAAAAAAAAAAAAAAAAAAGATTTCATATTCATTTATTCGTTCATTCAATGCTAGGCATGGGAGCTAGCATGTATCTGTAATCCCAGCACTTTAGGAAAACTAAGGCAGGAGGATTTCCAAATTCAGCCCCATCCTGGGCAACTTCATGAGACTCTGTCTCAAAATAAAAAATACAAAAGGGATAAGGGGTAGAGCCAGCCCAGGTAGCACACACCTGTACTCCCAGCACTCAAAGCTGAGGCACAGGATCACTGTGAGTTCAAGGCCAGCCTGAGCTACACAGTGAGTTCACAGCTGTTATGGTTTGTGTCTAGCTGTCCCCCCAAAGCCTCATGCAGTCATGGGACAGCTCCTGAGTTGGTTATTGATTCTTGATCCACTGCTGGGATTGCAGGTGTGAGTGCTACACCCACCCTGGGGGGGGGGGATCTCTACTACAGTGTAAGAAGGAGAGGGAGGCTCTGCTGAGCTATAGCCCTGGCCTTTGCTCTCTGCATTTTGCTGCTGCCAGGAACAGCTGCTCTCTGCCATGTGCCTCTCTGCCTGGGAGCCAGGTGACTATGGACTGAAACCTCCACTAACTGTGAGCTACATAAACCTTTCCTTCCTTCATTTTGGGTGTTGGGTATTTGTCCCAGCAATGAGAGAAGAGAAATTGAGGCAACAGCCAACCTGAATTACGTGGCAAGACCCTGTCTGAAAAACAACAAAAAACAAAAAACAAACAAAGAAAAAAAGAAAGAAAGAAAGAAAGAAAGAAAGAAAGAAAGAAAGACAGACAGACAGACAGACCAAAGGTGGGAAGGGGAAGGGGCCTGAGGGTATAGCTCAGTGTGAAGAACAGAACAACAACAAGAACAACAGAAAAGCCACACACACACATGCACACGCTAGTTTTACTGTTTTGTTCACAGCCCAAGATTAGAAAACCAGTAGGATTCTCAGCCAAACTAGAATACAAACTGTTTTGGAGACTGAAACTTTTAAGCAAAGATGGAAGGATAATAGGTGATTTTAGTTTTAAAATTTTGTTAATGTAGCTATATTATATTTTTCCCAAATTAAAAAAAAAATCTAACACTTAAGATTTTCATATACATACATTAACAGCTAACAAAAAAGAGATTTAGCTCTGAATTATCTTATGAAATAAATATGAATATGTAATGAACACATGTACTACTGTGCCAAAAGTTGTTGATAAAAATGGTTTAAAAAGAGATTTAAAGAACTGGCTTCTATTATGCCTAACAAACTTCGGTTTATAGATTTTAAAAAACAATTTTTTTTAGCTAACTCAACCTATGGAACTATTACCACTTATATTCTGTTAATATAAGTGATTATATAAAAGATTTCCGCTGAGCCTGGTGTAATGAACCTGTGACTGAGTCATCATATTTTAATGGTTAAAAAATAGAAACCCAGGCCAGGCATGGCAGCACATGCCTATAATCCCAGCACTTACGGGGCTGGGACAAGAGGATCATTGCAAGTTTGAGGCCAGCCTGGGCTACAAAGTGAGCTCAAGGCCAGCCTGCATAGAGAGACCCTGTCTCAAAAAGACAAAAAAAAAAGGAAAAAAAAAAAGGTGGGGCCGGGGAGATAGCTCAGTAGAGTAAGCGCTTGCCTGGCAAGTACAAGGGCCTGAGTTCAATCCCTGGTTCTGGGGGGAAAAAAAAAACCTGGAAGAAAAAAAAGGAAAGGAACAGAAAGAAGAGACCCAAACACAAAGTAAATCACATCAAAGAACTTAACACAAAACAAGATCACCCAGGGCCATGTAAACCTTTACACTGTTTTCTACGTGAAACCACAAAGGAGAATGCAACTGCCACAGTAGAACACACAACCTCTACACATCCTCAAAGTTTCTGGAAGTATGTTGCTTCAGACCACGCAAGAGATTTTACATACATAATAATCAAACATGGCCTCGGGCTTAAGGAAAGGGGCCAACCAATCTGGAATCTACTACTTGCTTAACACTACCTTCAAAATCATCGTAGACTCTTAAAAGCGTTGTAGAACAGTGCATACAGGGCTGGAAATGTAGCTCAGTTATTGAACATATGCTTAGCACATGTAAGGTCTTGGGTTCAATACTCGGCACCCAAAAAACAATTAAAAAAAAAAAAAAAAAAAGGCAATTGAGACTGGGCATGGTGCCACATACCTATAATCCCAGCACTTGTGAGGCTGAAAACAGGAGGATCACTACAAGTCCGATTTGTGTAGTGAGACCCTGTAGACCTTAGTAAATACATTAAAAAAAAAAAAAAAGAAAGAAAATTCAAATCAAATCACATACATAGTGGTCCAAGGGGTTGGTTTCCACTCTGAAATCATTTTTAACTTCTTTGACAGTGACTTCTACATATACCTTTCCTCTTAAAATTTAAATTTTTTGATATATGTGTATAGTTTATAATGATTACATTTGGGGGGGTTACTGGGACTCAAACTCAGGACCTTATGCTTGGTTTTTTTGTCATTTTTAGACAAAGTCTCGCTGTGCAGTTCAGAATGGCCTTGAACACACTCTGTAGCCCAGGCTGGTCTTAAACTTCCAACATTCCTCCTGCCTCAGCCTCCCAGGTGCTGGACTGCAGGGATGTACCACCATGCCTGGTTTTCCCCACTGACTTAACTATTTTTTTAAAGTATAGATCATAAAGAAAAAGTATGGATTATTAGATTTTAAAAAGCACTATCAATAGATGTTAACAAAAAGGAACTGAAATATTTCTGAGAACATAAAGGAATGAACAGGGAAGCTAAGTTTGGATATAATATTATATAGGCCAATGGATTTTGTGAGGAAAAAAAAATAGCAAGATGGCCCAACCTGTAATCCCAGCACTGCGGGAGGCTGAGGCAGTACAAATGCAAGTTTGAGCTTAGCCTGGGAAACTCAGCAAGGTAACCCTATCTTAAAATTTAAATGGGGTAGGACGGGACAGCACTAGTTGCAATCCCCAGTACTGCTACGGACAAAAGGAGAGAACAACACAGAACAGAACAGCAAAGTAAGCAGTGTTTTGGGAGGCTGATTTGGTCCCTGGCACATAGAGCGTGCTGACTTGCTAATATGAAGCTCCCAAAGAAGAATACAGGGAGGAAATCCCCTCCCTTCACGCAACCATTCTTTTATAGAGGAAAATGGAATGTTCCAAAGATGGCAGCAAGAGAGTCCCACACCACATGGAACAGCGGCAGTGAGGGTATACACACGACTGCTTCTGCACTGTGATGTGGGCAGAGAAAAAGGACTGCACTTCACCTGGTAGGAGGGTAAAATGGGCTTGGGATGCGGCTCCCTAACAGAGCGCCCACCCAGCACGCACGCAGCCTGGTGTCAGTCCCACCCTGGAAGCAGTGCATGTGGTAATCATGTGCATTTAGACTTTCAACTGCACGATGAGTTTTCTCCACTGACTACACTTTTCACAGTCCTCCTCCTCCTAGCCATCCTAGGAGCCCAGTAAGTGCACTCAGTCGTTAACTTCCCATGCTGAACTCATTTCTGTAGTGCTACTTAGTCATCAATAGTACCCTTTTAGCTAATTCCAAGTTTGCATACAGATTATCAAGAAAACTAGAGTAATTTCTCAAAATAAAACTAATAATAAATTAGGTTCATAAATGTGCAGGAAGAAAATTTCCTTTCATTAGAATCTTATTCAAAGATTCCAAAAATTTCTTTAACATTAATAGCCAAGGGGCTGGTGAGATGGCTCAGTGGTCTAAAGCACCTACTTAGAACAAGCTTAGCAAAGCACAGGGACTGTGGTTCAATCCCCCAGCACCACATGCCAGCCAGCCCCACCCCCTGGTGGGCTGAGCTGGCCACACACATACACACACACACACACACACACACACACACACACACACAAATAAATTAAAAAAAAAAAAAACATTAATAGCCAAATTGGAGCAGTTAATAACCTACAGGGGTGTTCATTGGTTTTTGTTTGTTTGTTTTATGTACTTGGTACAGGGGTTTGCTATGCAGCTCAGACTCCTACTGATCCTTTTGCTTTCAGCCTCCCAGGTGCTGGGATTACAGGCATGGACCACCACATCCAGACTCTTTGGCCAACTCAGCATGCCTGGGGCAGAGCCAGCACAGCATGCATTACCAGGGATCAAACCCGGTCCCTATGCTTGCCTAAGCAGGCGCTTAGCCTGCCGATCTATCTTGCAGGCCCCAATTTTGGTTTTAGGTTTTTTTCTTTTTGCAAAACCAGGGATTGAACTCAGGCCCTTGTGTTTGCCAGGCAAGCGCTTATTCTACTGAGCTATCTCCCCAGCCCCCCAATTTTGTTAGTTAATATGAATAAAGATATATAAACTACAGAAAGTTTAAGACATTTTAAGCAATGATACTTGGCTCACTTTGGAAGCACATACAATAAAATTGGAATGATAAAGAGAAGATTAGCATGGCCCCTACCCAGGGATGACATGCAAACAAGCAGTGCTATTCCGTGCAATTGCACTGGCAAGCGTTTTCTGTATGCAGGGTCTGAAGCATGCTCAGCAAGTGAGCAGCACTCCAAGCCCCCAGCTGTATTCTAAATCACAGATGTCAGGTGGCCTATGTAAGAATGTGTTCCTTGCACAACTGCTTTTCACAGCAAGACTAAAATGAGCCCAACACCCATCTGCTAGAATCAAAAAACCAGAAACAGTGTAGTAGCCATTAAAAAGAATGAGGCAGGTAGACCACTCCATAACTGAAGTGCACAGAGCCTGGCCCAGCACACCACCATGTGAGGGTCCACATCAGGGCCAAGGTTATCCTGGATGAAGCCAGGGACACTATGATAAGCAATAAGCTGAACGAGCTATGGTGTTGGACCCGAGGCTGCCACGCAAACCACAGAGCTCAAAGAATGTGGAGGAACACCTGGGAAACTCTCCTTAAAAGAGCAGTTGTATTCTGTTAATGAATAGAATGACTTGTTCTAATGGTGTCTGTAAACAGGATATCAAGTCCTCATCTTGTACAGCAATTAACCACTAGGAAGAATGTATGCAATGTGTTGGTTATTGAAACTGTCCTAGTGATTTGATTTGAAACTGTCTCATTGCTATTTATCATTAAAATTATAAAAAAAAAAAAAAAAAAAAAAAAAAAAAAAAAAAGAGCAGTTGCATCCATTTTGGCTGTGTCTGACCCTATTTCCATGTATTGATACGTACAGAGCTGACTAGGGCTTTTCTTTATCCCTTCAGTTGGCTTTAAACAATACATCTTGGTCTAGCAGAGGTGCTGGTGGTAGTCTTTGAAGACATCACAGGCATGTTTCCCCAGTTACCCCCACCTGCTGCTTTTTAATGTGAGCCAAGAGGGGACTGAGAACCCCTGCTCCACACTGTCAGCTAAGAATCAAGCCTCAAGATAGAGGCTATGACTTCCTGGGGCTTGAAAGATAACACATCAGAGTTGAAGCACTGGACCCCAAAACACTAGATACTATCTCAACAGTATAATGCAAATTACTTTCAAAGCATAGCCTTCTCTCTGCATATGGCCAAGATAAATGCAGGCCTCCTACCTAGCCCAGCTCACAGTACTCACCTACTTCCTGCCATTTTCAATCATTTGTCCTTAAGCCACTCCTCCTTCATGACTGAATAAAAACTGGGTTTGGCCCTGGATCCATGCCTTTGTTCTGGACAGCTATCACGATGGCTGGATTTAGGACCTGTTGGCTCCCCACAACTACAAATATGCCTCAAGTGTCTTTTTTCTCACCCTGGGAAGCATGGGAAATGGTAGACTGAAATTAACTTGAGGGGATTCCAATAATTTATCCATGGGATTACAAATATAAACTTCCTGGACCAATACAAGGACTAGGAAGGGCTCTCCACAAAGGAAGACTGCAAGGATTTTAAGAACAAAATTGGTCAGTTTCAGAAAATAGCTGGTGGCCTAATTCCGTTTACTGACCAACCTGTAAACATGAGAGAAGATAAAGCCCACTAATGCTCAGAATTTGCTCAAACCTACAGCAAAGAAAGAAGCCAACACTAAAAACAGAAAAGAAATGAGGCTCCAAAGGAAACAGAATTAAACATGAAGTAGAGGTAGAACAAAATAAACTTTTGAACAATTTAGCTTGCAGAAATGAACTGGACATTTCATTTTTAGAGCAAGAAATAAACAAACAAAACGCCTTTACGCCATTCCAGTGCCTTGACTGAAGAAGCAAGTATGCCACAAGACAACGCCACCCTCCCAAGGCAGTGATGCAAGGCTGCTGGAGCTGGTACTGAATAGCGCGTGCCCACTGCCAGGGCTGGGCAGGGCAGGTCCTCGCCTCTGACATGCTCAGGACCAGCTAAGTGGTCTGTCAACTTTGCTCCTTTTTCTTCTAAATTCATAATGCTTTACAAAGGAATGCAATAAATTCTTGTTTTCAAAAACAAGAATCGGGCAGGGCTGGAAGTGTAAGTCACTATAAGAAAAAAATGATGCAAATATTTATATTCAAATATGGAGCTGTCCCCAAATTTCATTTACTGTTTGTTTTTTTTTTGCAGAACCAGGTATTGAACTCAGGCCCTTGTGCTTACCAGACAAGCACTTATTCTACTGAGCCATCTCCCTAGCCCCAAATGTTTGTATGGGACAGAACTGCTGGTGTGTTTCCCATCTCATGTGACAGCTTTTTTTTTTTTTTTTTTTTCCTGGCAGAACCAGGGATTGAACTCAGGCCCTTGTGCTTGCCAGGGAAGTGCTTATTCTACTGAGCTATCTCCCTGGCACCTAAATTTCACTTAAAAAGAACAACATGCACCTAAATTTGAAAAATCCCAATGGGCTATGAGGCTACAGGAATGAAATGTTCTGTTGTATATCTCAATTTTATATATTTTTATTTCTAAGCTATGTAAATGTTACATCTCTTACACACACACAAGGTAAAAGAGGGGGTGGCTGGTTTGCTACTATCTTAGGGGATGGCTGTTTGCTACCTTCTTCTGTTGTTGGGACAAAATACCTGTCATCCAAAATTAAGAAAGCGGGGCTGGGGAGATGGCTCAGTGGAATAAGCACTTCCCTGGCAAGCGCAAGGGCCTAAATTCAATCCCTGGTTCCACAAAAAAAAAAAAACAAAAACAACAAAGGTAAGGTTTATTAAGCTCACAGTTTGTGAAGGTCTCATTCCATAATCAGCTGGCTCCAAGGAGGGTGGCACACGGCACAGGGCAGCAGTTTAAGGTAGCAGAAGACAGCAAAAGCAGCAAGAACAAAAGGGAAGGAGGGTGCAAGCCCCTTTCCCTCCCTTACACTGTGTGCAGCTGCCCGCCCAAAGTACCTGCATGGCTTCCTCTTCCACCAGCTCAGGATGCTACAGCGGGAGGCCCCTGCGCCCTGCTGCATGTCTTAGGCAACCTTCTAAACTTCTCAAGTTGACCCAATGTATTGATGATAACAGTTTTCTATGGGTCTCACAATAAAGGCTGCTCTATTCATCTCCTGCTGTCCTGCCCTTTTATTTTCATTTAAGAGAATAAAAAAATATTAAAAATAAATTAGAAATGATATAGAATTTCACTAAACAGAATGATAGGAATTCAACAATAGTTGCTACATTACATACTGTTGTCTCCAAATTAGTTGTTCAGATTGCCAGACAGAAGCATACGAAATTATTAAAAAACTAATAATATGGAATGCTTCATGAATTTGTGAGTCATCCTTGTGTAGGAGCCATACTAATCTTCCTGTATCACTACAGTTTCAGTATATGTGTCCCCAAAGCAAGCGTCACTGCCCTTTCATTGACAGTGGCTGCTGCAGCACAAACCAGAGCCTCTTCTGTGCCGGTCACCAGCGCTCCGACTCAGCTGCCCCATATCAATGCATCTGACTCCAGAATAAACCAAACCCTCAACCAAACAGGGATCACACCATGCTAAACATGAAAAAATATATATTCACTCTGGCAATCTATTGTCATCTACTAAATTATAGCTTCACACAGTAGTTGAAGTATTTTTATTCACGAAAAAAATTTTGCTTATGGAGAAGTATTTTGGTAGTTTGCTATAAATGGCCATCTAAAAACAAATTTACCTTTAAAAATTGCCCTCGATCAAATATGAAGAAAAAATTAAAATATGGGAAAAAAATATTTTAATCTAGTGATTTAATTCAATGTTGCAAAACACCAGGCTGCAGATATATCTCAGTAGTGCAAGCACAAGGTCCCCAGTTTGGTCTCAGTACCGCCAAAAAAGAAAAAAGTTTCAAAACATCCCTATTAGGAGTAAGGGATGAAGAAAAAAAGAGTAAGGGGCGATATGTTAAGAGTCCCAACAGAATGATAATTAAATGACAAATGAAAGGCAAAATTCCCATTTAAGTGATATTAAAAAGAAGAGAATTATTTAAAAACAAAACCAGGGCTGGGGAGATGGCTCAGTGGAGTAAGTGCTTCCCTGGCAAGCGGAAGGGCCTGAGTTCAATCCCCAGTTCCACAAAAAAAAAAAAAAAAAAAAAAAAAAGGGCTGGTGAGATGGCTCAGTGGTCTAAAGCACCTACTTAAAACAAGCTTAGCAAAGCACAGGGACCGCGATTCAATCCCCCAGCACCACATGCCAGCCAGCCCCGCCCCCTGGTGGGCTGAGCTGGCCCCCCCCACAATAAATAAATAAAGCCCCACTGGGCTAGAAAGATAGTTCAGAGGTCTAAGCACCTGCCTGACAAGTGCAAGGACCTGAATTCTATCCCCAGTACCACATGCCATGATGGCCCAAACTCGGAGTGGCGGCACACACCTGTAATCCCAGTGCTGAGAAAGCTGACTGAAGGATCACTATGAATTTGAACTGTGTAGTGAAACCCTATAAAAAGAATCTGATAGGCCATCAGCAAATGAAAGATTTCAGCGAAGTTCTGGAAGACAGCAAGCTGGTCAGAATGAGAAGAGTAAACCCAAGACCACGATGAGTCTTTCTTTTTTTGGCAAAACCAGGGATTGAACTAAGGGCTTACTGAGCCATCTCCCTGGCCTCAGGATAAATCTTTCATTCAAAGAGGAAACACAAGAAACACTATACAGGGCAAAAAACAAGAGTACAATGCCCAAACTTTATGGAAAGGGAGCTTACACTGCAGAAGAGGGAAGTGAACTGTCTTGCAGGGTTCTAAAGAACTTCCTGCTTACTAGAAAAGGATCTTCAACACCAGCTCCACAACTGACAGCAGATAAAAGTCTGCCGAGTGAATGGAGCCCATGGTCACCCTTGTCACTTGTCTCGTTAGATTAAGAAGAGGTAGCTATGAATCACTCAATACTGTACTTTCAGACAAGGCACAGCACAAGAATTAAAAACTAAACCAAGAGGAAATAGGTGATTTAGGCAAAACAAAACTATGAAGATACTAATTAGAAGTGTTAACAAGATTTGTGAGGATAACACAACACAAAACAAGAATAGGTCAAAGGGTGGCACGGGAAGGCATGGTGGCACATGCCTGTAACCCCAGCACTCAGGAGGCTGAGGCAGGAGGATTCCAAGTTTGAGGCCAGCCAGGTCTACATGATGAGTTCAAGGCCAACCTGAACTACACAGAACCTTTCTCAAGAAACCAAAATTAAAAAAAAAAAAAAAAAAAAAAGCAGAATGCACTGAAAAACAGCTTTCAGGAAACAAAAGAATCTTTGCAATTTTAAAATATGCTTAGCAAAATTTAAGGTATCATTCCACCAACTATCCTCCCAGCTGATGTTCCTATTACTGGACAATTTCAAGGCACAAGAGAGAAGAGAATCCTAAAGAGTACAGAAGAAAATACAGATAATGTACAAAGAATACAGCATTATTAGCACACATACAGTATAAAAACTGTAGTATTCAGTGACAGCAATGAGTAATTCCTTTGGGCTCAGGGAAAATCACTTTCAACCCAAAACTCAACACCAAATTAAACTATGTATCAAATGTACAGTACACAATTTTTTTAAATTTTGGTGTCAAGTACTATGAAATATGTAAGAACAAGTAAGTCTAGTAAAACTGAAAAATTCTGCTGCAAGTTTATATACATTAAACATAAAACTAAAGTTTTGGGGCTGGGGAGTTGGCTCAGTAGAATAACCGCTTCCCTGACAAGCACATGGGTCTGAGTTCAATCCCCAGTTCCACCAAAAAAAAAAAAAAAAAAAAAAACTAAAGTTTTATACATTAAACATAAAACTAAAATTATTAAGGATCTAAAGCAATCCAGAGCTTATTTTAATTAACTTTTTTATTATAAAAATAACTCAGTTTTGTGGAATTACAAAGAAATCAAATATTAAACAGAGGCAAGTTTCTTTCTGCAGAAGTACTCCAACTACTCTATGAGAAAAAAAAATCTACAATAACAGAGCCACGCCACTTTATAGCAACTATCATTTTACAGAAGTCTAGGTGACAATCAACTGCCATTAACTGTTATGGGTCAACTCTGCATAGGAACCAGATCAGCCAGACAGAAATTTGAATAGAGCCTTTTATTTACTGAGCTCAGGTCTGTCAGCCACTTCTCTCGCAGGAGAAGGCTGATCAGCCCCGAACGTAGGTAGCAAGGGGGTATTTATAACAGAAATCACACTCAGTTTGGTAAGCAAACCTGTTATATAGTATAAAACAACAGAAACTGTATTTGACACAGCTGTAAACTGTTTATAACTAAAAGGTCTTTTATAGCTTAGTGATAAGTGTATATTTTTATAAGATATATCTTAAACTGACTATGTTATAGGAGATGGTTGGGGAAGGAGTTTGTGTTAGCTTGTTGCCTTGACAAAAAACAGTTATTTATTTGTTGAACAGCCTTGAGCCAAAAAAAAAAAAAAAAAAAAGTTTCTTAGAGAAGATAACAAAAAACACAATGGGTTTTTATAATTTTTTATAATTAAGGCACAAAACTCTATTAACCCTTTACATTAACATTCTGAAAATAGACAACCAAACATTACATATATACCCCTAGATATGCAAATACAACCTATGAAGTCATATTTATCTCTTTTTTTTTAATTAATTTATTTATTTATGTGTGTGTGGCCACGCTCAGCCCACCAGGGGGCGGGCTGGCTGACATGTGGTGCTGGGGGATTGAACCGTGGTCCCTGTGCTTTGCTAAGCTTGTTCTAAGTAGGTGCTTTAGACCACTGAGCCATCTCACCAGCCCAAGAAGCTTTTTTTTTTTTTTTTGGTGGAACCGGGGATTGAACTCAGGCCCTTGCACTTGCCAGGGAAGCGCTTATTCCAGTGAGCCATCTCCCCGGCTCATATTTATCTCTTGAATCACCCAAATACATCCTTAAGTCTAATTACTGATTTAAAAATAAGAGGAAGTGGTAAAAGACAGCATGGAGGATACAAACAGCAAGATCCAAACAAAAGTACATTTCTTTCATATATAAAATGCAAGAGGGAAAAAGAAAGAAAAAGCAGCTTACATTTTCCCAAGTCCACCTGGCTGGCTTGGCCTCTTCTTCCCCACTAAATTGCCACGGTACCTTTGTCACAAATCATAAACCACAAGCTCCAAAAACTGCTTTTCCCTATTCTGGGTCCTTTCATTTCCACAAATTTTAGAATCAACTTCTCAATTTACACAAACTTCACACACACAACAGCCCTCCAAGGTGTTACTTGGAATTGTATTGAATCTTTGGACCAAACTGAGGAAACTTACACATTGTCATTTACATCCTACAGTAAGCCTTCTTTACTTCCTCCAGCAACATTTCATGCTTGTGTAAAGGCATAAAAGCTTTATATATCTTTCTCTACAATCACCTGTAGGTGTTTGACTATTGGATTGATGCTATAAAGCCTATCCATTTAAATTTTTTTTTGGGGGGCGGGGTGGGCACAGAGATAGCTCAGTTGTCTCAGCACCTGCCTAGGCAAGCACAAGGACTGTGGTTTGATCCCAGGCACTACGCTACATGCCGTGCCGGCCCTGCCCCTGGCACATCACCAGATACCTGGCATGGCAGCACACACCTGTAATCCCAGAGCTGGTGAGGTGAGATTGAGATAGGAGGATCACTATGAGTCTGAGCTGCATAGTGAGACCTTGTAACAAATACAGAAAATTTAAAAATAAATAAATAAATTTATTTCTCTGTGTGTGTGTGATGCTCATGCCTCATGCATGTTAGGCAAATAATATGCCACTGACCAGCAATCCCAGTTCGCTGGAGCTACTAAACAAGAGGTGAAACAGCAAAAGTTCTAGAAGAAAATATAAGAGCACATATTCACATTACTAAGAAATCTGTGTTGCTTCCAAGACAGTGACAATGGAATGAGTTTTTGAGTTAAGTGTTCCTTGTAAGAAACAAAGCATTCGCATGCGTGTGTGCACGCGCGCATGCACGCGTGCAGGTCTCACTACACAGCTAGGACTCCTTGTGATCCTCCTGTTATCAGCCTCCTTAGTGCTGAGATTACAGGTGCCACCATACCCGCACCTTTTTTTTTTTAACAGTACCAGGGACTGAATTCAGGACCTTGCACTTGTCAGGCAGGCGCTTATTCTCCTGAGCTATCTCCCTGGCCCCTCACCACTCATTTTGCAACCATCCATCTTCCATCTTAAAGACCAAGTGACCAATCTGGTAGGCACCAAGATGCCAGCACCTGCACTGAAGTTAAGCACTATTAGTAAGAGCAGGCTCCCTACAGACAGCATGGCCTCGCAGCCGCTCCAGGTATAACTTCAGAAAAAACACAGTAGCCAAAATCTAGTAGGGAGCA